AGCATCGCTATACCCCACTACTCTCAAGTCATCACCCCCACCGAGGGTAAGGACCCAGTCCCTAGTCCTTCATAGGTACTTGAGAATATTCTTCACCACATTCCAGTGAGCCTTGACCAGATTCCCTTGATATCTACTGACCATGCTCAAAGCAAAGGCCACATTAGGGATAGTACAAGTCATATCATACATGATCGAGCCTACAATGGAAGCATACGGTACTCGACTCATCTCAGCTATCTCAGCCTCTATACGCGGGATCTGAGTCTTACTTAGTTTGGCATTACTATGAATTGGTAAGTCACCTTTCTTGGAATCCTGTATACTGAACCTTTTCAACACCTTATCCAAGTAGGTACTTTGACTAAGTCCAATTAGTCTCTTACTCATGTCTCTCAATATCCTTATCCCTAGGATATAGGCAGCTTCTCCAAGGTCCTTCATAGCAAAACACTTCCTAAGCCAGGATTTAACCTCCTGCAAGGATGGGATGTCCTTTCCTATGAGTAGTATGTCATCCACATACAATACCAAAAAGCTAACTATACTCCCACTAGCCTTAACATATACATAAGACTCATCTTCGCTCCACGAAAAACCAAACTCTTTGACTTTCTCATCGAAACAAAGATTCCATCTGCGAGATGCTTGTTTCAATCCATAGATGGATTTATCAAGCTCACACACTCTATTAGGATGCTTTACATCGACAAAACCCTCTGGCTGACTCATGTAAACATCCTCAGACAACTTTCCATTAAGGAAAGCGATTTTGACATCCATTTGCCATATTTCATAATCATGAATGTAGATATGGCTAGCGAAACCCTAATAGACTTAATCTTCGCTACTGGCGAGAAGGTCTCATGATAGTCAACTCCCGGAGTTTGAGTAAAGCCCTTCGCAACCAATCGAGCTTTATAAGTGTGTACATTCCCATCCATGTCTTTCTTCTTCTTGAAGATCCATTTTCACTCGACCATCTTACGACTCGGTACATTGTCAACCAAGTTCCAAACTTGATTATCATACATAGACTGAATCTTACTGTCTATAGCCTCTTTCCATTTAGCAGACTCAGGGGCTGTCATGGCTTCTGCAAATTTGTTAGGCTCATCCAAATTTACTAGTGTACTATCACTGAAAAATGCATCACCTTCTACAGTAATGTGAAAACCATAGTAATGCTCAGGAGGATTCCTAACTCTTGCAGAATACCTTAGAGGTACGGACTCATCAATAGGAGTTTACTCCTCAGGTTGATTGCTAGGGTTTGAGGTTCCTTCACCGCTTGAATCTTGAAGTTCTTCAAGGTAAATTTGCCTCCCACTGTTTCCTTGGCTTATAAACTATTTCTCTCTCTCTCTCTCTCTCTCTCTCTCTCTCTCGACCCCTCTCCTTGCCGCAAAGACCACATTCTCACTGGGTCTATAGAAGAGGTAACCGAAGGAATTATGTGGGTAGCCGATGAAAATACACCACTCACTACGAGGTTCGACCTTGTCCTTAGTCTCACGTCTCACGAAAGCCTCACATCCTTAAATCTTGATGTGGTGTAAATTGGGAACTTTCCCAGTCCACATCTCGTGTAGTGTTTTGGTAACTTTCTTAGTAAGGACTAGATTAAGGATATGGGCGGCAGTCTCTAAGGCATACCCCTAGAATGAGATTGGCAACGAAGCTCGACTCATCATGGAACGAACCATGTATAACAAGGTTCGATTGCACCTCTCAGCCACAACATTAAGGTATGGAGTTCTGGGAGGTGTCAATTGTGAAACAATTCCACATTCCTTAAGATATTCAAGGAACTCTGTACTAAGATACTCTCTTCCTTGATCAGATCGGAGCATCATAATGTTCATGCCCAACTGACTATTCACTTATTGTTTAAACTCTTTGAAATTTTCAAATGTTTTTGACTTATGCTTGATTAAGTAGACATAACCATATCTATTGTAATCATCAGTCAAAGTCACATAGAAGCGGTTAGCATCCCTTGTGGTGATTCTGAAGGGTCCACACACATCTGTGTGTACGAAGTCCAACAAACCTTCACCCCTAGCACATGTACCATTGAAGGGTGACTTTGTCATTTTTCCATGCAAACAAGACTTGCAACTATCATCTGACCTTAAGTCAAATGACTCCAAGACTCCGGTCTTCGAGAGTTGGCCTCTGCGCTTCTTGTTAACATGTCCAGGATGACAATGCCACAAGGATTCTTTATCCAAACTAGTGGAAGAACCAATGTGTAAAACTTTATTTCCTAATTTGTCTACAACATTCACAGCTTCATACACACCAATACCAGGTAATGCTTTAAAGTAAAATACATCATTGTAAAAAAACATTAATAGCACCTATTTCATTATCAAACGAAAAAAATAAAACCTTGTTTGTACAAGCCATGAAAAGAAATGACATTTCTCGCCATTTTGAACGAGTAACAACACTTATTAAAATCTAACACTAACCCACTAATTAGCAACAAAGAATAAACTACAATCTTGGTGACAGGTGAAGCTTTCTTATTCCCCATGATTAATTTTAATTTTCCATGCTCCACATCCTCACTTCTTAGGCCCTGCAAATCAGAACATATATGAATACCACAATCTATATCAAGAATGCAAGAAGTAGTATGTGGTGAGTTATTAGACAATATAGTGTAAATACCAGGATGGGTAGGTTTGACGTTCCCATCCTTAACATCTTGCAGGTACTTGGGGCAGTTTCATTTCCAGTGCCCCTTTTCCTGACAATAGAAGCATTGAGATTCCTTTAGGTTGGAAGACGGAGTGACAGAACCACATTTGGTTCCACTTGAAGAGGAGCCATCAAGAGACTTTCCCTTGGTATCCTTCAAAGGGGTCAGGGTTGGAAGAAGGAGTGATAGAACCACATTTGGTTCTGCTTGAAGAGGAGCCATCAAGAGACTTTCCCTTGGTACCCTTCGAAGGGGTCTTCTGAAAAGGCCTTTAGATCAATCGATATATCAAACAAATACAATAAATAAGAACAAGAGAAATTCACGAAGAAAAAACTTTCACTAAGAAAGATAATCTCACAAAGAGATTATCGTGTGCACAAAGCGACGATTAGGGTTTGTGAAAGGCGTACGATTCACAAACTTGTACAAGATAATATATACTGTTATTCTAGACAATCCCTACAATTCAGGGATACGCTAGCTAATAAATCAAGATAACTAAGGAAACAAAATAAATACATGATTTGTTACAATGCACTGAATAAACTAAACTAATACAAACTGAGCAGTTACACGCTGGTGCTGATGCTGAGACATGTGCTGACGCTGAGTCTGTTTTAAACATAATCATATTTCAAGGTTTGACCTTACAATCTCCCCCAATATGATGATGTTCAAAACAAACTAAATAAAGACACCTCTGGAAAGAAATTCTTCATACTCAGCTTCAGCTTCAATTTTAACTGGCCAGTAAGGACTGTCCAGCAATTCCTGTCTTCTGTTCAGCAGCTCCATGGCAATAAGAATGTGAAATTCTCCGGATAGATCTTGATGACTCATGCACATTTGCCTTAAGCCAACAAGGTGAGTGGTTGGAGCCTTTGGGATCTCAGTAGTTCGTTGAAAGCACATCCTCCTGTTTTTGTCTAGATAGAACATCCCGTGTTCAGGAGCTGAGATGAATTGATGCTGAACCGGATCAACACCTAGAGGAAGTGAATTGTTAATTACACCAGCACCAAAGTCTAGAACCAATACATCTTCACCATCAACATGAAACTTGGTTCTTCGAGATCTAGGAACTGACGACCTTTGGCCTTGATGCTGAGGTCGTTCTTTAGGAACAAGATCCAAACGCTGAACTTTCTTGATCAGCAGATGAAGAGCACAAGTCAGTTCTGAAGAGTGAGCTGAGGTTTGCTTGGATGCAAGATCGAGCAGTTCCATCCATTCCGAATACCCATATCTAATCAGCTCATCCCTCTTGACAACTTCAGTATATGAGTGCTGAGGACCTTGACGAGTGATCAGCAACGTAAGGATTTTCTCGTTTCGAGGTTTAGAAGCTTTGACTTTGATGATCTTATCTCCACACATTCGCCGATTAAAAACATCTTCAAATCTCTTTCGATCAATCCGGTCAAGAACACTGTCAGTCTTAGGCTTGCTAGAGCTAGGAGGAGGTTGAGAAGACTGAGCCTTGGACTGAAATTCCAGGAACTTCTGCATCTGAGCTTCAAAAGATCCCTTGGCCTGAAGTTTGTGCTGAATAAGAGATTCATCAGCTTGAGCAATGTTCTTTAGAAGCTGAGCTCGATTGGCTTCATCAAGAATTTGCTTGACTTGATCAGGGGACATGTTCCATTCAGTGGCAAGGTTTGAAATACTGACAATGGACTTGGGTTTCTTCACAGTTGAAGAAGTATCAGTTTGAGAATGATCCAAGTCAGTATCTGCTACCTTCCGCTTTCGAGACAGCGGATGAGATTCTTCACTGGCAATGTCCGAATCCTCTCCTTGGACCGGAATGATGGGATCAGCAATAGGATCGGCTAATATCGGATGAGATTCTTCAAGGTCATCTAAGCTTTCTTGCTGAACTGGAATGAGAGGATCAATGAAGTTCATGTCAAGAATTTGACATTCATCATCAGGTTCATCATGCTCTTCATCATGCTCACTGTCTTCAAACAATTTTTCAGTAGCTGCTGGACTATTATGCCCCGCAGAATCAGATTCAGGAATGGGGTTGGATGATTCATGCTGAAAGATAGTGTTGTCAGCAGGTTCTGTGTCTTTCTCATTTGGTTCACCATCAGCATGAGCATTTGGTTCACCATCAACATGATCATCAGCATCAGCATCATCATCAGTATCTCCCCCTTTTTGAACATCATTAGATTTAGGACTAGAGGGAGGAGTAAGTAAGAGAACCTCCTTGATTTGTTGAACATCAGCCTCAATACGAAGCAGACGCTGACTCATGTCCCGAGTCAGTGACATCAGTTCAGAAAATGCTGAAGCGGGAATTTGAACCATTGAGGTACCTGGGCAACTGGAGAGCTAGGTTGCATCCTTGGAGAGAAGTGGTGAGCTGCTGGTGATGGATGCTCCCCCTGAGACTGATGCTCCCCCTGTGATGGTTGCCCCCCAGAGGCATGGAATCCTGTGGTGCTGAGGAGGCTTTGCCAGTGGCCGAGATGAGGTGATGAGAAAGTTGAGGGGAGAAATGGCCGCCATCATGATGTTCCACCTCTTGATCAGCATGATCCATACGATTACCATCAGCACCTCCTTCATCAGTGTCAGCGGTGAGAGAAGGCATAGTGTATGGATTGGCAATCCATTCTCTCATCCTATCGGAGATTCCAATGTCAGTATCCAAAGGATCATCCTGATACATACGAACGGACATTCGAGGGCATTGGATTGGATTCCCAGAGTGAGAAAAGTAGTCAGCAGCGAAGAATTTGTCGAACACCAGGGCAATCCAGCGTGGAAAGGGAACATGATCAGCACGCACATTTGCACGTAGAAGCTGAACAAGCTGATCAAAGAATAGTGCCCCATAATCTAATCTTTTGTTGAGAAGAAGGGAGCAGACGACTTGTTGCTCATAATTGCTCAATTGATCACCACTGCGAGACTTGTGACCCACACACTTGCATAAAGCACCAGTGAAAAACTTCCAGCCTGGGGTCATGCACTGACGCAAAATAAGAGCTGATCGAGTACCAGCCTTTGAATGATCATAGCCCAGTTGATCAAATATTCGTTTACATCTTTCAATAGTTGGAGGTTCAGAAAAGGGTTCGAAAATTGGTAACCTTAAAGCAGCACTGAGTAGTTCTGCGGTGATGAAGACAGAGTGTCTGCCATGACCAATGGTTCCGGTGATGGCATTGTTTTCTTCATTAACTGTTGCAGTATAGTAAAACTCACATACTTGTTCAGGGAAGAACTCGGACGGTACATCACTGATTGCATATCGGAGGCGGCAAGAAGCCAAGAAATTGACGAAATCATCGAGTCCAAGACCTCGATGAACCTCTGGAATGTCAGGGTTGAAGACGACATTGGTTGCCTTGATGTGAATTGGAAGTGGAGGAGAGTTTGGGGCAGGAACGACTCTTCGAGAGGTTGAGGAGTATGTGAACAGAGATGCCGCCATTGGAGAGTATTTGAGAATTCTAGGGTTTTTGAGAAAAGTTCAAGGTTTTGGAAGGAAAAATTAAACCAAGGGAGAAAGAGGTTTAAATATGGAATGAAAAGGGGTTTTTTAAAAAGGAATAATTATCTTCATTAAAAAGGTGATGATTATCTTCATTAAGAATAACGGCGCATCGTAACAATCTGTCAGAGTAGAAAATAGCCGTTGGATAAAAGAGCCGTTGACTGAAGGTGAAACGTCAATCAGTGTTTGCGGAAGCGCTGAGCTCAGTGTCACAAAAGTTACGTGCTGAGAATATTTCTCCGTCAATTCAAGGTACAACTTGCTTAATCGGGGCTAGCAAGGAGATTGGTGCGTGTGATAGATACTAGTTACATTATCTAACCATCGGCACAGAGTGTTGTGACTTCATCAGTGAGTGGTTTATCTTACTGAATCATTAGACACTGAATAAGAGGAGGGTAAAGAATGGATTGTTGCGTGTGATAAACCTTGGTGTTTTGGTCTAACCATCGGCAAAGATTTTTAGACTCTCATCAGCGTGTGTTTTGGCACACTGAATCACAGAATCAGTGTAAGATTGGTGAGAAGGGGTAGTTGCGTGTGATAAATCTTGGTGTTTTGATCTAACCATCGGCAAAGAGTTTCAAGTCGTTATCAGTGTATGGTTTAATACAGTGAATCATTCAACTTTTGTTTAGAAGACTTGAAGAAGAGATCAAGATAAGAAATCAAACCAAAGTGCTCAGTAGCAAATATCATCAGTATGTCATCATCAGCACAATGTACATCAGCTTATAAGACAATCTCAAACATTAGCACAATTAAACGTCAAAATTAATTACAAGGAAATCATTCCCAGTTCTCCGATAATGTAAGCAGTTGATTGAGAATCCAGTGCCTTTGTGAAGATATCAGCAAGTTGCTCCGAAGTCTTGACATGTTCAAGAACAACTTTTCCTTTTTCAACATTATCTCTGATGAAGTGATGTCTGATTTCAATATGCTTTGTCTTTGAGTGCTGAACAGGATTTTGTGTGATCTGAATGGCACTGGTGTTGTCACAATATATGGGAGTCTTTGAGAACTTGAACCCATAGTCGAGAAGCTGATTTTGAATCCATAAGAGCTGAGCACAACATCTCCCAGCGGCAACATACTCAGCTTCTGCAGTTGAGATGGCTACTGATGTTTGTTTCTTGCTGGACCAGCTGATGAGACGATTGCCAAGGAAGTGACATCCACCAGATGTACTCTTTTTGTCTAAATTGCATCCAGCATAATCTGAGTCAGTGTATCCATAAAGTTCAAATGCTGAGTCACGAGGATACCACAGAGCAAGGTTTTGAGTTCCCTTCAAGTATCGAAAAATACGTTTGACAGCCATGAGGTGAGATTCTTTTGGATTAGCTTGGAATCGAGCACAGAGAATGGTTCCAAACATAATATCAGGACGACTTGCTGTGAGATATAAGAGGGATCCAATCATTCCTCGATACAGAGAGTGATTGACATCAGTTCCAGTTGGATCAGCGTGTATCTTATCAGTCTTAGACACTGGAGTAGAGGCTGGTTTGCAGTCACTGAGAGAATACTTAACAAGCAGGTCAGATATATATTTACTTTGACAAATGGAAATACCTGTCTTTTGTTGCTGAACTTCAAGACCTAAGAAAAAGGTCATCTTCCCCATCATGCTCATTTCGAACCTTTGAGACATGATCTCTGCAAATTCCTTGCTCAGTGTCTCATTTGGAGAGCCAAAAATGATGTCATCGACATAAATTTGAACAAGAACCATGTCTGAGCCTTTGTTTTTGATGAAGAGAGTATTGTCGATTGCTCCTCGTCTGTATCCATTTTCAAGCAGATACGATGTCAGCGTCTCATACCAAGCCCTGGGAGCTTGTTTCAGTCCATAAACAGCTTTGTCTAACCGGTACACGTAATCAGGATGATCTTTGTCCACAAAGCCTGGGGGCTGATTTAGGAATACTTCTTCTTCTAACACACCATGAAGGAATGCTGTTTTCACATCCATCTGATAGACAATGAAGTTCATGTAGGATGCGTATGCGAGAAACAGTCTGATAGCTTCAATGCGAGCAACTGGAGCAAAAGTTTCCCCGTAGTCGATGGATTCAATTTGAGTAAACCCTTGAGCTACAAGCCTTGCCTTGTTGCGAGTGATGATTCCATCTTTATCAACCTTGTTACGATAGACCCAGCGAGTTCCAGTGATAGTTTTCCCGGATGGTCTTGGGACAAGAGTCCAAACTTTGTGCCTTTCAAACTCATTCAGTTCTTCTTGCATGGCTTTGATCCAATCAGCATCTTGAAGAGCTGTGTGTACTTTATCAGGTAAGATCATTGAAACAAAGTTAACATACATGCAAAAGTTATTAAGTGCACTAGATCTGGTTCGGACACCATCATGAATATTCCCTATAATTCGATCAACAGGATGATCTCGATGTTCAATGACTGATGCTGATTCCGGAGAGATAGACACTGACACATTATCAGTTTCAGGAGAATCTTCAGCTTCAAGGGTTTCATCAGCACTTAATGAATTATCTGCTGATGTGGCTGCAATATCTTGATTCAAGGAACATGGAACTGGAATGATAGGATCAGAGGAATCAGTCTTATCTTCTGCAGAAGGTGCTTCATCGAATGGACAAGAGAGAAGCTCTTGAAAGATAGAAGGAGAATGAGTGACTTTTTCATCAGTGTATGATTCCTCATCAAACTTCACATGAATGGATTCTTCAACACATTGCCTATTCACATGAAAAACACGAAAAGCCTTTGAAATAGATGAGTACCCAACAAAAATACCTTTATCAGCCTTAGGTTCAAACTTGGATCTTGGGTCACGCTGATTTAGAATATAACAAATGCATCCGAACACATGAAAAAAGGATACATCTGGTTTTCGATCTTTCAGCATTTCATATGGAGTCTTCTTGTGAATCCTGTGAATTAGAGATCGATTCTGAGTAAAACACGCTGTATTGACAGCTTCAGCCCAAAACGACATAGGAAGACCAGCATGGATCATCAAGGTTCTTCCTGCCTCAATCAGTGTTCTATTCCTTCGTTCAGCAACACCATTTTGCTGAGGAGTACGAGGAGCTGAGAAGTTTTGTCCAATTCCTTTATTGTCACAAAATTCTTCAAGAGTTGAGTTTCGGAACTCAGTACCATGATCACTTCTTAGTTGCTTAACTTTAAGACCTGTCAGTGTCTCATTTTTACGAATCAGTGAGATAATTTCCTGTGCAGCATGACTTTTCTTCTTCAAGAAAACTACCCAAGTAAATCGAGTGAACTCATCAACGACCACTAGAGTATACTTATTTCCACCTAGTGAACGAACAGGAATAGGTCCAAACAGGTCCATGTGGAGTAGATAAAGAGGGACTGATATACTGGAACATGACTTGGGTTTGAAAGAGGACTTGGTTTGTTTTCCTTGTTCACAAGCTGAGCACATCTTGTCTTTCACAACGCTGAATTTTGGGAGCCCTCTAACTAGGTCTTGATTGGATATCTTGGATAGATTCTTGAAGTTCAGATGAGAAAACCTTTTGTGCCAAATCCAGCTAAGATTCGTCTGAGACTTTGTAAAGAAACATTGCATCAGTGCCTTGTCACTTGAGAACATGTCAAGAACATATATATCATCTTTTCTACTTGCTGAGAGTACGATGTTCTTGTCAGTGTTTACAACTCTTCCTTCCTTCTTTGTAAAGTGAACTTCATAGTCAGCATCACACAACTGACTGATAGAAATGAGGTTGTGTTTGAGACCCTTTACATATGAAACGTTTTGAAAAACCACGTTATTGCATTTGATGTTTCCATATCCCTTAGTGAACCCCTTTCCATTGTCTCCATAAGTAACTGCAGGACCAGTTTTCTTAACATAATCTTCCAGGAGAGACTTTGATCCCGTCATATGCCTTGAGCAACCACTATCTAAATACCAAAGATGCTCCTGACCCTGCAGTACTGAGAAACTAGTTAGAACACACTGACCCATTCAAAGATGGGTCATTCACAAAGTTATTTGATAATAGATTATAACACTCCTTAGGAAGACAGTTTAAAGAGTTTGACTTAAGAGTCCATTTTTCATTTCTAACTTTAATATTTTCAGCTCTTGAGGATGATTTATCAAAAGAACATTCACTGATCTTGTGAGAGGAATTACCACATCTGTAACAAACTCTAGTACCAAAGTTCTTCTTGGTGAGCAAATTTTTTGATTTAACACATTTTGACATGTAAGATTCACCAAGAGAGCTTTGAGTCCTTTTGCTTATCATTGAGTCACGACTGAATACAGTATCAGGAGGAGTTTGATCAGTGTTAGGTGATAAACTATCAGTATCTGATTTTGACTCATTCACAGATGGATTGCAATCAGGGAAGTGCTTGAGTTGTTCATGAACAGCATGAAACACTCCATTTGAGATAGGAAAAGCAATAATATTCTCAGTTAGAGGGATTGGTCTAACAAGATGTGCAGGATAAGAGGTAGGATCAATTCCGGTAATTTCAACATTACACTCAGTGATACCATCAGAATTAGTAATGCAATATTCATCAATTAAACTTTGATTAATAAAAGAGTTACTGACAAACTTATTTTTGAAATTGTTTTTCATCACATTCATGGAATAGACCTCAGATTCCTTTTCTTGTGATTTAAAAACTTTTTCAGCTTCTGCAAAATTACCCCCAAGAATTTTCTCACAAGAATGTGGAATTTGAGCTGAAATAATATAATTAGCATTCTTATGAGATTTTGCCCAAGTGTGAAGCACAGTTTGTTCTTTGATCAAAAGATTTTTAACATCATCAATTTCAGCAGACAAAGATGAATTTGACAAACTAGTAATTCTAAGATTTTCCTGAGTGGACTCAATAATACTATTTTTCATGGATATATCAGTTTCAAGAAGATCAATTTGATTTTGCAAATTTCTTATGGTTTGATTCTTCTTAGAATTAATGACACCCAAATACTCAAACATTTTGATTTTTTCATTCATTGAATAGGAAACAAAGTTTTTAACCTGGTACATTGAAGAAGAGTCAATGTTGTGCTTCCTGGAATTTTCAGCATCAGACATATCAGTGTCAAAAGTACTTTTGTCTTTATCAGAAATAGCCGGGTCCTCCATTTTGACCATTAGACACTTGACTTCATCATCTGATGACTCTTCATCAGTTTTCCATTTTTCTTCTTCAGCTACAAGCACTTTATGTTCCAAGTTTTCAGCTTTCAGCTTCTCAATCAGCTTGTTGTACTTCTGCTTCCAGTATTCATCTGAGCCTTGTTTCTTTTGTTTACAATCCTTTGCAAAATGATCAGTGCTCCCACAGTTAAAGCACTGAGCCTTCTCTTTCTTATCAGCACCATGCCTTTTATCAGCTCCTGACCCTTTTGAGAACTTTCCACCCATCTTCTTTTGAAACTTTGAGAAGTTTCGACCTGATTTTTCAAAGGTCTTCACAATCAAGGCTGCACTTGCCACAACCTTTTCAAGATCATCAGTGTCAGTTTTAGATGAATCAGTATCTGAATCACTTTCAGTGTCTGAATCTGACACCAGCTTTTTGTTGGAGAACAAGGCTACAGAGGATTCACGCTGAGAATCTTTCATCAGTTCCTTTCTTTGAAGCTTGGATTCTTCATAGTATCGAAGATTTCCATAGAGACTTTGTAAGTCCATAGAGTTGATCTTCTCACTGTTTTTCAGCACATCAACATGATTCTCCCAACCTGCACCCAGAGAATCCAAAAACTTTTGCACTAGAACAGTTCTATGCTTCAACTGATCTAGTCTCCGAAGATCATTAACAAGAGTATTGAATCTGTTAAAAGTTTGAGTCAAGGTTTCACCTTTCTTAGCAAAAAAATGTTCATACCTTCGATTAAGATCATTTATTTGAGTAGCCTTGACTTCTTCAGTTCCTTCAAAAGATACAGTCAGAGTATCCATCATCTCTTTTGCTGAGATGCAATTTTGAACCAGCCCAAAGATGTTGTATGGCAGAGAGTAGCTGATTGCAGCACGAGCACGAACATCTAGACCATGTTTTCTCTTGTCATCTGCCGTCCAGTTTTCTTTGGGAGTTTTCTTCATAGTACCATCAGGAACATTATTTTTAAGAGGCTAATACATCGGAACATAAGGACCTTTTTCAACGATGTCCAGCACGTTTTCATTAACAGACTCTAAGGCATATAGAGCCTTTATTTTCCACATAGCAAAGTTCGTTTCATCGAAAGGAGGGATTTTAGCAGAAGGATGATTTGATGAGTTTGATGAAGAAGAAGATGAAGCCATTTGTTTGATAAAAGAAACTTGCTCTGATACCAATTGAAAAGGCCTTTAGATCAATCAATATATCAAACAAAGACAATAAATAAGAACAAGATAAATTCACGAAGAAAAACTTTCACTAAGAAAGATCATCTCACAAAGAGATTATCGTGTGCACAAAGCGACGATTAGGGTTTGTGAAAGGCATACGATTCACAAACCTGTACAAGATAATATATACTGTTATTCTAGACAATCCCTACAATTCAGGGATACGCTAGCTAATAAATCAAGATAACTAAGGAAACAGAATAAATACATGATTTGTTACAATGCACTGAATAAACTAAACTAATACAAACTGAGCAGTTACACGCTGGTGCTGATGCTGAGACATGTGTTGACGCTGAGTCTGTTTTAAAATAATCATATTTCAAGGTTTGACCTTACATCTTCCTCTTTTTCCCTCTACTTTTCCCGATTGCCAAGACATGGGTTGTGTTAGGAGTAGGAATAGTAACAACCAATTTACCTTTGAGACAACTTTTAGCGGTCTTCAAAAGTCCTTGAAGCTTGTTGAGTGTAACTTACTCCTTGTTCATGTGATATATCATTCAGAATTGATCATAACAAGTAGGTAAGGAGTGCAGTATGATGTCAATAGCCAACTCCTCGGGGAAGTTCACACTCAACTTCAGTAAACGGTCCGCATACCTTTGCATTTTCTATAAGTGGCCCGTGATGGATTCACCATCCTTCACTCGGGTTGTTATCATGGAAGAGATGATATCATACCTCTCTTGATGAGCACTCTGATGGTTGCGGTCCATTAGATCCATGAGCATCTCAAAAGGGTAATATTCTTCATAGGATTTCTGGAGTTCAGCTGTCATTGTGGCCAACATGATACATGCCACCTTGGGAGTATCTCTCTCATGTGCCCTAAAGTCAGCGATCTCTTCTGGAGTAGCAGTAGACTCATCAATTTCTTTTAGCTCCTTGTCGAGGATATATTCCTTGTCCTCGTAACGTGTGACCATAATGATGTTCCTAATCCAATCCATAAAGTTGGAACCATCAAATATGAGTCTCCTACAAAGGTTCATGAGAGAGAAGGAGCTGGTAGGGTTTGAGCCAGAAGCATCATTGTTGTAAGACATCTGAAAAGAAGAAAGACAAGTTTAGATTAGATTTGGAATCCTTAATAAGAAACCCAAATGTAATATTAAGGCTAGGACCCAACACAATACTTTATAACTTGGAAGAGGGATGTCGTAATCCAAGGTATAAAATATTTGAAGCTAGTCGAATGACCATTCACCAATTTCCACCGTGAAAAACGAAAAAAATTATTAGGTTTTAATTGGATTGAAACTCCTAGATCTTTTGAGATTCATTGAACTTTTCAATGGCATGTTTAAATGCTGATTGTGCCCTCTCAAGTTTGCGACTGGGATGCCGATGATCACAAACAAGGTGTGAATAACCATGCAAATTAACTTGGTACCCTTAATCTTTATCACCTAATTGACGTGCCAGTTACCCACACATGCTCCACCGCTCTATGATGAACTTTAAGTCACCCTTTGCCACTCTTACTAGTCCATGTTAGTGTGCCGGTTACCCACACACGCTCTACCAAAGACTTGGTAAGGTATAAAGTGTAATTTCATGGGATAGCACCAAATTCACATTTTCCTAAAGTAACTAAGATTAGGAATTTATAAAAGGTTTAGTTACTTTATATTTATCATTATACTTTTAATGAGAACTATAGTCCTTATCCTACCCATTCGGCTAACGAACTTCCACCAGTTAAGGAAGCGGTGGGTGAGAGTGGACACCCATTAAGCTACCATTTTATAGGCAACAACCTTATACCCCCTTTTATAGACCGACTTCGTGAATGAGGCCAATAACGGTAAAACTGACTTGCTCTTATATATATATATATATATATATATATATATATATATATATATATATATATTATATATATATATATATATATAAACTTATAATACTATAGAGTACAAGGGTTGAATTTTAACTTTTAAAACTCTATGGTTTGGAATTAAAGTTTTCTAAAGTGACTTTGCAAATTCCAAAACTTGAGGGCAAGTTTTGAAACTATTCAAAACATTTCATATTCAATAAATTATGAGTTTTTAATAACTTTAAAGAAAAGACTTTTGGAATTCGATAACTTGAGGACAAGTTATGGAGTCCATTAATTGGCATTAAGATCAAGAATTACACTAACAAACAATTTGCAAATAATTCCTATGATCTACTAAAACTCATAAGCATGAACATTCAAATCAACAATTTCAAGAATAATATAAACATATATAAAACTCTAAAATTTGATATAAACCAATGTAAATGGATTTGCATAATCATTACCACATCAAAAACAGGTTTTATAAGTCCAAAACAGTTTAGGGTAATGATTCTAGTCCGTTTCCAGTAGCAAAACTCGAAAATCTTCACACAGGGCCTCCTACTCGCCGAGTGTAAGAACCTACTCGACGAGTAGGATGCGTTTGCACTTGGACTCGTTGAGTCCCCCCATTGGCTCGGCGAGTTCACTGAACGGTTAGCAGAAATTTGACTTTTTCAAGCAGTTTGCATCAATTATATATAGAAAACAAGCCTAGGCTCTGATACCACTGATGAGTTTTGAGCATTCTAACGCTCCGATGGTGTACGTGCAACCCTAGAAACCTTGGGTCTATGTTTTCTCTAATATACATGCAACTTTGAATTTTCCAAGGTTCTCATTTTAACTAACATAGTATGGGGTACTTGTAATATAAAAATTAGTAGAATGACATACCTTTGTTGTTGCTTGGATTCCTAAAGACTTTGTGAGCCTAGCACCCCAAATGTGATGCCTCAAATGTTTCATACAACACCACAACACTTGGAATAACTTGAGAGAAGAACACTTTGAGCACAAAATCGGCTAGCCCTCACTCTTGTTGTCTTAGTGCCGATTTTGCTCCAAATGAGGCTCTTTATATAGTGTGTCACATGTAGGGTAAACCCTAATGTGCATGGATTTTCATTTCCCCCATGATCCATGGGTTTCTAACCTCCATGGAGCATCCATGGAGCACCCAATGGGTCTTAGCACAATCTAGTGAATCATGGACCTTAAGCCCACTATATAAGAATGAAAGATTTACATAATCAATCCTCATATATTTAATTAGTTTATTTTGATCATAAAATTAATTCCAAATTAATTGTTGATCAATACTAGTTAAACAATATGATTTCACATTAATATATTAGAATATATTAACAAATCATAAGTGTCCTTATTCTCATTTTCTCTA